ACTCGTAATCAATGTCCACAAAAATTAACTTTTGAGCTGGGATACTGGGAGATCATATTATGGGCCCTCTATTCATCGAACAAAATTTAACCGGGAAACTGTATTAGGATATGCTGAAAAATACTATTGACCCTCTAATCACCGAAATCGTCGAAGCGAATCCTAATGAGTTCGATACTGATATCGCACGTCAGCATGTGGAGCTTTTCTTCATTGCTGACCACATGGAATCTTCGACGATAATGTAATATTAATAATACAAAATAACAACAATAACAATACTCGGTGACAGGTATTTACGTCAAGTTTGTAACTCCTTAAAAAAATCAGAAAAAAACGCGTGTTTCTTATATATATGGCGAGTTTCTGCAACCTAAGGTTGCTTCTCGCAACCCATACGCCATCGTATCCTATCGTTCCATTCTCCTTCATGTAGTCCTCTACTTTCCATTGCGGTATGGATGTTTGAAATCCATTTCCTTCGTGGTCCTCCTCGTTTATTTCTTTTTGCTGGTGTCCATTTCCAAACCCTTAATGGTATCCTTTCTTCGTTCATTCGTTGCAGGTGTCCATACCATTTAACTGTCTCTCTGTTATATCGTCCATTATTGTATTTTCGACTTCCATTCTTTCTCTGATGGTCTCATTTCTAACATGGTCAAGTAAAGTTAAACCGGAACATCTTCTCCAGTACATCATTTCGGTTGAGAGAAGCTTTTGTGACATATTTTTATCTACAACCCACGCTTCTGACCCATACGTCAGTACTGGCTGAATCATAGCCTGATATATAATTTTTTTTGTTTTCTTTGTTAGGTTCTTACTCCACAAGATCAGATGTAGTGCTTTAATCATATTTTTTCCTTTTCCTATTTTCCTTAGTATGTCTTTATTATCCTTTCCGCTTTCATCTATTGTAACTCCTAGGTACTGGTACTGTCCGACGTTTTCTATTTTTCCGCTTTTTGTTTCGATGTCTTGTCCTGTGCCTCCTATAGTCATGTATTGTGTCTTTTGTATATTTATCTCCAAACCCTATTTAGTGAATTCTTCTATAAGTTTGTTTATCATGTAAGTCATGTCTTGCTGGTCTTCTGCAAAGACTACCTGATCATCTGCAAAGAGGATTGTATACAAGTGAAAGTCCTCTAACCATATCCCCATGGGGCTGCACTTTCTTATCCACTGTTTTAAAGCGCTGCAGAGATAAATTTTAAACAGGGTTGGAGAGAGGCAGGAGCCCTGCTTAACACCTTTTGTTTGTGGGAAAGCCTCAGAAATTTGATTTCCGACTTTAACGACCACTTGATTTTCTCTATACATAGCTTTTACGGCGTTTATGTATTTGCTATTTATGCCTGCTTCTTTCATTGCGATCCATAATTTCTGCAAAGGGACGGAGTCGAATGCCTTGCGGAGATCTATAAAAGTAGCGTGTAGCTCCATTCCTCTTGCTAATCTCTTTTCTGTCAGTGTTTTTATTGTAAATATGTTGTCGACACAGGATCGCCCAGGTCGAAATCCACTTTGTTCTTCAATTTCCGTGGCTTCGTCTTCTATTCGGGCTGTTAGGACTCTTTCGTACAGCTTTCCGATGGACGATGTAATACTAATACCCCGATAATTACTACAGTCACTCCTGTTTCCCTTTTTATAAATGGAATTTATGTAAGAGCTCCTCCAATCTCTGGGAATCGTTTCCCCTTCCAGGCACTTGTTAAAAATTACACAAAGTAGCTCGTGCGTTCTTGTGGTGGCGTGTTTATTTAACTCGATAGGCAAATCCCTCGGTCCCGGAGATTTATTATTTTTCATTTTTTGTAATGCTGTTTTTATTTCTTCTAATTCTAATTGAATGGTATCTACTCTGTTAACTCCCGTTTGATCTATATCTACTTGCGTGTCTAAATACTCTCCACGTTGTTCTGCCAGTAGATTATTGTAGTAGTCTTTCTACTGTTCTATTTTTATGGGATTTATTTTTCTTCTTTCATTCGTGTTTGTTTTAAGACCATTTATAGTTCGCCAAGCTTCTCTAGACCTAGATCCTCCTACCATTGAGCTAATTTCAGCACATTTGGTTTCCCATGTTTTGTTTTTTATTTTTTTAATTTCTTTTTTTACTATATATTTAAAACGATTATAGCTTTTTCGATCTTCATCGTCTTTTGTAGTTAACCATTTAAGATATAAGTGTTCCTTTTCTTCTACCAGTTGGGTTAAATCGTCCGTCCACCAAGAATTTTTGTGTTCCGTTCTATCTTTAACACCAAGGGCTTCTAGTGCTGCTTCGTGAATTTTGTGTTTCAAAGTTTCAAACGTTTCTTCTGCCTTGCCGTTAATATCTTCGTCCAGTTTTTGTGCTAAACGTAGTTTGTAAAGGAAACTGGTGGATTCATCCCTTAAGCTGTCTATGTTATATCGCTTTGTGGGTTTTCCATTGTTATTTTGTTCTTCATATATGAGATGTTTATTGTAAGTAATTTCAATGGGTGCTTTTACTAGCAGGTGATCTGAACCGCACTCAGCTCCTCTCCAAACTTTTACATCATAGGGTATTATGGAAGTGTCCTGCTTAATCACGACATAGTCAATAATTGATTTCAAGTTTTTTGTTTTTTGAGTCTTTGTGTTGGAAAAATCCGTTTAAGATTCTTAACGAGTGTTGTTCACAAAGCTCTATCCATCTGGTTCCGTTTTCATTGACTACTTCCTCTCCGTGTTGTCCAATTATTTTACTGTCAAGAGCTTTGCCCACTCTTTCGTTCAGGTCGCCTATCAAGACTATTTCTTGTCTATTTTTCGTCTTATCTAATTCCTCAGAGAGTTTGTCAAAAAATTTGTCTTTTGTGTTTGTATCTGAGTCGTCTGTGGGCGCGTAGATACCGAATATTTTAATTTCTCTTCCTTTTATTTTCATGTCAACCGTTATGATCGTGTTTATTATAACCAAGAAAATAAACATAACATGCGATACATCGTTGAGATCGCATAAAAAAGCGTTTAAATACAGGGTGTATTTTTATATAAAAACATAAAGTTGATGATGGTTTCTCTTCCACAGACATTGAGATCCCCACACAAAGAATCCTCATCTTGGACACCGTGTACAAAAGGGGCAGCTATTACATAAATCTTAGATACAACCGACCCTCCCATTATATTAGTTATTTGGAGCACATCCAAGGGGAGCAGCACCGCCGTCGCCAACGCAATGATACCTGAAAAATCCAATAAAGTTCCGCTTACCGTCGCCTCGTCGACATGACCGGTAGTGCTGCTGTTATTGCATTTCTGCCCGAGAAGCGCATATTAATGCAGCGCGGCCTGTGCTGTTGATATTTTTGAGAAAATAGCTGCCGACACCTCCTGCCTGCTGAAATGGATTCCACTTCATGGAAGCCATTATTAATTTACCTAAGAAGGATGTCATTTTAGCGTCTCGACTTTTTCTTGTCCACGGATGCGGATGCTTTTACAGGAAAGTAAAGGATGGAAAATATAAACAAGAAATCTATCATGAAAATTAAACTTGAATTACCACACTGCAATCTGAAGAATTATCTACGTTTTATCCTTAATAAGCCTCATCAATCGGATAGATATTTTCAACACGCTGCATCTCGATGGTGGTTCATTTCAAGACCTATGTGTTAGAGCAGGATTCCCCAAACTTTTTTGTGCCGTAGACCCCTTGCCATGTTTTTCCGTGTAGGGTAGACCCCCTACTTACCTGATATTGATTTCCTGTAAATTTCTAACTGTAGTGAAGCTTAGTGTTAAAAACACATGTTAATTTATACATTTCTTAATTGAATTTAAATTAAAACTACTCAAAATAAAATTTTGTATCTGTTATGTAAAATAAACGTAACATTAAATAAACAGGTGTCTGACCAATAAGTGCCCGCATTGGGAATAAGTGCCCGCATTGAAAAAAAAAATAAGAGGGATAAATCTTAAATCTCCTCGGCTAATGATGTCCAGTCTGTTTCTTTTTTTCGTTAGGAGATTGGTAACAGCGCTGAACCCCCTTTCCACTAGGTATGACGATGGAAAGGAAGTTAAAAATTTCCTCGCTATATTCCATAATACGGGATAAGTAACGGGTATGTTGTTTTGCAGCCAGAATTGCTGATATCTGTTTTTAAACTGAATCTTAAGTTCTTCGTTTGTACTTAGTTCAGTCAGTTCCTCTTGTATTATGACATTCGTTTCTTCTATGTCACCATATGGATTAATTATCCACGGTGGTATTACCATAGTCAAAATATCCTCAAACCTAGATTCAAAATCTGAATAGAGGGCATTTAAATGTTGAACGTAAGTTGAAACGTCGTCTTCCTGGCAGCTTGTCTGTGACAAATTGGGGAACTGAGAAAACTCGCCCCGTCCAATATTTTGCTTCATTAGTTTAACTCTGACAAGAAACGCTGATAAGATGGACTTTGTTTTAATCAAATTTAAACTGTCGCCTTGTAATTGCAAATTAACCATATTAAATTTTGTAAACAAATCTGTTAAATAGGCGATGTCTGTTTTCCTCTTCATTAAATTTTCTTTTAAAATTTTATCTTTAGTATCCAGAAATTCTAAAATAGTCTCAAAAAGTGCAAAAAATCTTGTCAAACATAAGCCTTTCGACAGCCAGCGTACTTCAGTGTGAAGGAGTAATTGATAAAAGTGTTCGTCATTTTCTTCACACAACTGCGCAAATAACCTCGCATTCAACGCGTTGCTTCGGATTCGGTTAACTGCATCAATGACTAAATGAAGTGATTCATGCAATCTAACACTCAAATTTTTAGCAACTAAATGTTGTCGATGGATGACGCAATGTATTTCTAACACCCGTGACACATTTTGTTTTAAATAGCTTATAAATCCACGATAACGTCCAACCATGGCAGGTGCTCCATATGTATCTACTGATATTGTATTTGATAAAGGAATTGCTTTTTGGATGAAGTAATCCTTCAAAACATGAAATATTGATTTACCTTTAGTGTCGGTTATCAAAGTTCTTGCGAAGAGCAGTTCTTCGTAGATTTCTTGATTCATAATAAAACGAACATATGCCAATAATAATGCTTCATTATCAGGTAAAGTTGACTCGTCCAGTTGTATATAGAAATGGGTCGTTTGCAAATAATTACATAAGAAGCTTTCAATATCAGAACTGATTTCATGAATACGTCTTTTAACAGTATTGTTGCTTAAGTGAATTCTTTTAATGATATCAGATGCAGGTTTGTGTAAAACGGTTTTTAAAACCTCTTCAACGGCTGGCAAAATTAACTTCTCTCCGATAGTATGCGGTTTTCCGGATTTTGCTATAAGTAACGAGATATTGTAAGACGCCCGCAAAGCAACATCATTTTTTTGTGACGTCGAAGCGAACATTCTGCCGAGTGTAGGTCTCTTCTGAAATTTATCTTTGAGTGTTTGAAAGTATTTCAAATCTTTCTCTGTTTTATCAGGGTGGCATCTTCTCAGATGATCTTGCAGTTTAGATAGTTTCATAGCGTCATTGCCCAAAACTTTGTTGCATAAAAGGCACATAGGCGATTGTTTGTCCGGCAATGATGGAATGAAGCCAAATTTCAAATAATTAACACTGTACTGTCTACATTTCTTTTTAGATTCGGACATGGCATCAGTCATCTGTGGGCAAAATTAAATTATTTAAATAAGACAGAAAATCCAGCAGCTGTATATTAAAAATATTTTATAATTTTTCCGAAAACATTCCATAATTCGAACATCTTCTTGCAACAATTAGCTCGAATTGTAGTTATATTACCGATTGCTAAAACTTTCAAAAAGAAACTACTGAGGAGTACTCGTGTAATTTTGCATGATTGAATATTTAACTACTAATAACTAAAATCATGATTGGCGTAATTTATCTATCTTTGCTAACTACGAGTACAAAACTAAAATTTAATAAAAAATAATGTACTTACTTTTCTCCAGCACTCTCAAACAAAATAACACTGACTCACTATAATTTGTGTGATATACTATCTGTTTATGTTTTTTAAAATATTTTCTTAGCACTTTCCTTTTCAAGATTCAGGAAACCAATAAACGTATTTGTCCACATTCGTATTTATAGAATGACGAATTGAACAAGTCAGTGCAAGGTAGCAAAGCTCTGAGACTGCGATGGTTTTTACAAGTTCAAAATGTATTGCGACCACAAAGCGAATACCAACATCCTACAACTTACACAATTTTATAAATATATATATAATACTTTTTTTACTTCATAGGTACTTTTATAAATAATGTATATGTTTTGATATTATAAGATAGTATGATGTAAGTAAATAGGTACTATCAGTGTATGTGTTGAGATCCACTATCGTGGACCCCCATATTAATTTCATGGACCCCCAATTTTTTTTTCGCTGACGTAGACCCCTTGCAGGTTGTCATAGACACCTAGGGGTCGATATAGACCACTTTGGGAATCAATGTTTTAGAGTATTCTAGTGGACTGTATAGCGGCTGGTTCAAGAATATATAGAAAAATATTGATCCGATATTCTGTCTAATTCTGGTTCGTATTCCTGGCGTAGCGGTGATGCAGGAGCGTGAAGATTGCGAGTGTGGGAGCAGTTCTGACTCTATGCGTTTGCTGCGTATATGCAGTTTCTGAGTATATGCGGTTGCTGCGTAGACACGTGGTCTCACTGTATGCGGTTGCGGGTATATATGTTATCACGATATGCGGGTTGCGGCGTATCTGCGTGGTCTCTCCGTGAGCTATACTATAACTATCTAAAACTGTAATGACTCATCGATGTTCACGTGAACATCACTTAACTACCAGTAGTCGGCTGTTCATAGGCGGGGTATGAATGTTTAACATGGCTGAACTAGATTTGTCACATGCTTAATAAAGAGTAGTTTGAAACATATTGTAAGTCAAAAATTTGGGAATTACTTATATTCATCGTCGCTTCCACTTACATCTGACAGTAATAAACTGTCGCTATCGCTTTCCTCGTTGAAACTGACTATAACTGGCTCTATGATGGTGTCGATGTGGTGGTCAAGCTGCCACATTTTTGTTTCTTCCTTCACAACATGACGGATAGCATTCTGCCAAGCTTCGGGCGTTACTAGCTGTATGGAAGTCTCAAGTGAAACCTTAGCGTCTGGTAATTTGAAGGTTGTGTTGTGGCGCGCAATATAACCCTTCACTTGAGCCCAGATGAGCTCTATTGGGTTCAGTTCACAGTGGTAGGGCGGTAACCGCAGCACAGTGACACCACATTGACGGGCCATCTCATCAGTCACGTAACTAATCTTCGCAGGTTTGTGCTGTTTAATTTTTTCATACAATTCCGCTTTCACACATGAATCGTCAAACGGCAACCATTGCTGCATGTCACTTTTTCGAGATCCCATAGTCGGTACACGTTCGGCTCGACGACTATGGTAGGAAGCATTATCCATGACGATCACAGAGTTGGGCTCAACTCGCTGAAGCACCCCTTGAAACCAGCTCTCGAAGCAGCTGGCATTCATTTCGTCATGGTAATCACCTCCTTTCTTAGGGACGAAAATCAAGTCACACTCTTCTAAAAAGCCACTATCGCTACCAATATGAGTTACGATCAATCTTTGACCTTTCCCTGACGATCCACGAAGACCTGTTGACAAACCTTCAATGCTTGCTTGTCGGTTACTCACTACGTTTTTGTCTATCCAGGTTTTTTTAACTGTGTGACCTGCATTTACCCATCTCTCGTCCAAATAATAGATTTTTCTGCTTTGTCGCCTATATTCAATCATTTCGCGTAGGTATTTTCGACGCCAGGCGACTATTTCAGGTCTCTCTATCAATACTGACTTCCGATTACGCGTTTCGTAACGAAAATTAATTTCGTGCAGGGATTTCCTCATTACCTCGACGCTCATTTGGGGTATAATTTCATTTTCCTTGATCGCTGCATGTACAGCCTTGAGGGTTGCTATCTCATTCCTAAAGAAGAATGAATGTACGGTTCGCCTTAACGCCATTTTGCTATCGTCATCCAATTTAACGGCCTTTCGTCCCTTCAAATTAAACTTTGGATCACTAGTAGCTCCAGTTTTCTTCTTTTCATGCACCACCCTGCGAATGGTCCACTCTGGAACGCCTGTCATACTTTCACAACGCGCAAGTGCATCTCCCTGCGACATAGTTCTGTTCAGATAATTGAACACGTTGAGCACGATTTCTTTCGCGTCCCTCTTCAGTGCTTTACGAAGCCGTCTACTTGTTCCCTGGCTTTCAGTACTTCCACTCGCGCCATTTGTACTCTCCATGGTTAAGTATCACCAAAACAGTAACCACAGAAACCACAACAATAACAATCACACAACAATTCTTATAAAAACACACAATATGCGATCGCTCAACGAAACACGTTCCAATGCGTTGCCGACGCCTATGAGTCTGCCGGTCGAGGCGCGTCTTTGATTTCATTGGTTCTACCGGCGGAGAACAATCAGCTATTATTTCCATCTCTGTCTGTGCTGTTGACCACCGCAAAGCCACAGAAACGACATATGTCGCACGCTATACGGTTGTACTGGAAGGAAGCCGGGATCGAGCTCTGATCACGTGTTGATCACGCGTATGAGGCATTACAGTTTTAAATAGTTGTAGTATAGTATCGTTTTTCCTTTTTTGTCCTAGCAGCGCACGCCCGCAGGGTAGGCAAGCGACAACTCAGACCAGCCTCACAATAAAGCCAGCCCAAATATCCCTAACACTATGTATAAACAGTGTTATTTTTATTTTTGTACTATCTGTTCTAGAAATAACGTTTGCGTTTGTAAAAACTTTTAGGACATACAATACGTTATTGTCAACGTTTTTCGAATCACCTTGTTTAAACCCCGGTCAAGCAGCTCGGTCCGTGAGAGGGTGCATATAAAAAGCTTTATCGAGGACAAAGGCCCAAAATTGAGGTTTCAAATTGGGAAACGTTTACAGCGGTGTCGAAAGGCGCTTGTAGGAAGCGCAGACCGTAATTGGTGTGTGCTTAGTGGCATATTGATCCGACTGATTTTTTTGCCGGACAGAATGCCGGAAATTTGGAAGCTGTTTCATTTGTCCAGGGGAATTCGCTGGCATTGCGGCCCCGCATGTGCAAATGAGTTGTTCGAGAGCCTCTACAAAACTGCAGCTGAAGTATTGGCGATATAGTTACGGAGAGTATTGTCACGACGCGGCAATGTTTTGTTTATATAATTCAACATTGAAATCCTACGTATTGGAGCAACATGACAGTTGAATAGAGATGTAACATTTGAAACCTATCCTGCAATTTTCAATCGAAGTCACATATTTTTATTGCATGTAGAAGGCTGTCATTAGCAGATCTGTGGATTGGATTGATCGTACAAGAAATAAGGTTGCTGATATTTAAGATGAGCCGAAACCGGTCCCTGCGGGACCCCCGACTTTACATTGCGGGATGAAGAGGAGAACCCGTCAATTTCGACTGCCACCCATCTGCAAAGCTTCTCTGTGAGGTCATAGAATGTTTGCATATAAGGACATCTTGCTGGCTGTAATTTGTGTGTTTTCCTTGCATTTTACTTGATTACGAAATCTGCAATCAAACCTCTTCGTACGGGAACTATTTACTTGGAGATTCCAAAGCGCTTACACATTCACTTTGTACACAAGCTACCGACCCGTAGGTGTAAGGGACGGTTAGATCCTGTTTTTTTTCTCTTTACAATACTAACAGCAAAACCTACTGTGCAAAAATATTCCAGTGAATGTCTACAAATACCAATTTCACCTGAAAAGGCGCTAAAATAAACCTCGTCAACCAAACTTATAGGTAACCGCATTCCGCCCTAGAAATAAATTCATCCAAAACAATACAATCAACATCTGTTACAACATAAGAAGTAGCTATGATTTGGATGTTCCTGCACATAACACTACCTCATTTGGAAAATCTCCACTGTACACATGCACCAAGACAATCATTTACTCACAGAGTTCCAAAGTTAGCCCTCTCAAGGTCCATCTGAAGAGATATCTTGGCAAGTGAACTTACACTCCAGCTGACTGTTTTCTATCCTAAAATTGTATATCAATGTATTTTTTGCCATGTTTTGTGTACCATGGCTTAGGTGCATCTTAACTGTGATTGTTTAAGCATCTTGATTTTATGTACTTTTATGATTGTTCATCTATATACAGGGTGGCGCATCGAAAACGAAGCAGACGCATTTACTGGCAGCTCAGTTTTTTTTTTGGAAAAACGCTCAAATCTGTCGATTTTGTTTTCGAGGGGGACACAAGTTTGGCAAAAAATCACGTTAACACGTGCCTCCCCCTAAGCGGGGGTGACACCACCCCCAAAATCTTAAATGGAAAGGGGGGTCGAGTGATACCTTATTTTAAAGGTCTTTCAATTCCTTTTATGGCTGTTTCGTTTTCGATGCGCCACCCTGTATTTTATATATTCATATATTTAATCTTTTATCCTAAGTTTTGTTTA